GGGCCCGGGGTCGCACGCCCCCCGCAGCGCTCTGCGCTCCGGCGGCCTCGGCCCTCAGCGGGGGGCTTCTTCGCGCCGCGGCTGTTGCCGCCGTCCCCAGATCCCCGCAGTCGCCAGGACGCTGACTGCTGAGCCCGCTTTCTGAAGTCCCCTGCGTGCTCGAATCGGGAGGAATCGCCGTTGGGGTGCAGGGGGCAGCGTGTCCCCTCCCCGCGGGCAGGGCCAGGCGGCTTGCTGCCCTCTGACCTCTGCTCCTGCTCGGGGGCCCGGGGAAGTGACATTTCAAACTCTCGCCGCGGCTCTTTAGAGCACGCTCGATCCCATTTGCGGGCAGGAATGTGTTTTCAGGAGTTGCACGTGGGCGCCCCGCGCCCCTGCGCCCCTTGCGCCCCCTGCATCCCCTGCGCCCCGTCCCGGTGCCGTCCCGCAGGGGTGCGGTGCAGCACGCGTGTAGACGTCAGAGTTCCAAATCAATTCTTTAACACATGAAAACAAGACAAGACAACAGACCCCGAGGCACCCAGAAAGCCAGCGGGGTGGTCGGCCAGGGCTGCTGGTCCTGTGCCCGCGCGCTCACCCGCAACGCACTGCTGCCCCCGCTTGGTGGCCCGAGCGGGTGGTGGGCTGTGGGAGCAGGGCAGATGGGCGCCCGCGGTGGGGGCTCTTTTCCTCAGGCAGTGTGCCCGGTCCAAACCCTTCTGCACCGTGGGGGTGCTTCCCTGCCCCTGGGGATTGCCCTCCCCGCTTAACAGACAAGCAGCCCTGGTCGGCCTCGCCACTGTCCCGTGCACATTCGCGTGCACACGCGCGCACACACACCGCTGAGTGCCCGCCTGGGGAACAAAGACCACAAACGCCTTAGAAACCACACAGCACGGGCTTGTCTGGCGGAGGTCCTGGGAGGGAGGCCCCCTCCGCCTGCAGCCCCTGGGAACCGAACCCCTGAACGCTGCTGGAGGCTGCTGTCCATGCAGGCGTGTGCTGAGCTCACGCACATCGGGCCCCTGTGCCCTGAGGCCTGGTGAGGGGGCTTTCACAAGTCTCCAGTGCATCCCAGTCTCAGCCCCGCAGCGGGCTGGACCCGAGGCCGTGACCTTGCTTTTCCTGGGCCTGGCCAACACCTCAAACTGCCAGCCCCTTCTCTGTTCCCTGCACCACCTTGCCAACCTGTTGCCCTGGCATTTCTGGGCCGGGGTGACATTCTCCTAACAGGGAGGTGGGGGGGCAGCCCCACTCCCCCACGCATACGCCTCCATCCTCTGCACCTCCCCCTCACCGCCTTGTTGGGACGAGCGCTCTGCCCAGCGTCCCTGCACCTTTCCTGTGTAACCCGGGCGAGGCACACGGCGAAGGTCTGAGCCCTCGCCCTCACCTGGCACTGGTTTCCTCTGACCTTAGCAACGTGGGGGCTTCACAAAGGCCTGGCTGTGCGAGCTCCACAGCCACTTACCAGCCTCTCTCCCTCCTCAGATGCTTCCCGCCACGGGGAGCTCCCTCCCTCCCTGCCCCCACCGAGAGGCTTGCACACCAAGCCGCTCCACGCAGCCCTCCCCGTCTTTCCCCTCGGCCTCTCTGGCTGCACAGCAGCCCCTGACCCCTCTGGCCTCAGATCTGCGCAGGCAGCAAGCTCACAACCTTCTCAGTCCTCTCAGCGGGCGCTGTGCTGAATAGCACCCCGACACCGTGGGAAGAGGCTTGCAGGCCTCCACACCTGTCTGGGACGCCTCTCCCAGGCTTGACCCGGGACAGAGCCCTTCGCCCTCCTGGGACAGAAGCCCCGGGAGGGCAGGGTGCTCGCGTCCCAAGCTGCTCTCTATCTTATCTGTTCAGCAGCTCTGAGCCCTGTTAGGTTTTATACGGCCCCTCGCCAGTTGCCAGGGAGAAAGCTCTCTGCGCAAAGCCCCCTGCCTTTTCCGTGGGAGCCGCTGGCTGCCTGGCCCCGAGCAGCACGGCGCGGCAGCAGCCCCAGGGCTGGGGGCTTCCCAACCAGGCAGACCCGCTGCGTTCTCGCTCTGTTAGCTGCAAGACCACGGCAAATTCCCTTCACTTTTCAGTCTCGGTTTTTCCCCTGTGACATGGGGATGAGAGTCTCTCTCTCACCGGCTTGGAGGGAGGGCACAGAGAGATAAGAGGACCGGGCACACGTCGGACACCTCGCCCGTGCTTGTGGAGTGGGCGCTGGGGCTGCAGGAGGGGGAGACGCACGTAACAAGCGTGACAAGAGACACAGCACGGTCTTCTAAGACCCTGCGTCGCGTTGCGCGCGCAAACGGAGCCTCTCCTGGCAGAGGCCCCTCTGCCGGTTTGATCGCGCAAATCAAGTCAGCCGGAGGCAGCCCCCGGCCCGGGGAGCTCACAGTAGATGCAGTGGGCACCAGAAAACAACACGCAGAGACCACTTCTGCATGTAGTAAACCAAGAATTTGCAGTGTATATCGCAGCACCCGGGGTAGAGCATAAAAGCACAAAAGCACATAACAATTCCCTGCCACTTGCTCGAAGGACCAGCTTGGGGAGGGGTCCCGGCACTGCCTGGGCTGTGGGGACCAGCCACCCTCCATGCATTCATCCTTCTCACCCCACAGGGCACCTACCTTCCCCGGGCTCGGACCCGAGAGGAGAGAGAAGCTGGGAGTGAGGAGGTGCTGGTCGGACGGTCGAACCGAGGGCGACGCTGGGCACGAGGAGGTGCTGGTCGGACGGTCGGACCAAGAGTGGTGCTGGGGACGAGGAGGTGCCGGTCAGATATTCAGACCAACAGTGACGTTGGGGAGGAGGAGATGCTGGTCAGACGCTCAGACCAACAGTGACGTTGGGGAGGAGGAGATGCCTGTCGGCTTCCTGTCCCCGAAGCTCTGTTGGTCTGTTGGGGAAAGAGATAGGGAGCCAGTCACGAGTCACTCTAGATCAAAGGGATGGGGTGGGTGGTAGCAGCTAACATCTGTACAGGCTCAGCCACAGGTCCCGAGCTGGGCTTTCTGCCTATAACCCGATCGGCCGGGGCTCGAGTCCTCGGGTCCCCATTTGATTGATGTAGAAACTGAGGCACAGGAAGGGAAAGTCCCATACTCACCGACTGCCAGCTGGTGAGAGGCCAGACAGGACGGAGCCCAAGCTCTCCCGAGTCTCCCCACCACACCCTGCAGCTGAAGACTGCTCAGCGACGCTGTGCAGAGTGCTGGGGGGTGTGGGTGGGCAGGGGATGGATTGATTAGTTATAAGCACCTCCCAGCGGTGCTTGAGATCCCAGCTCCTCTGTGGCCCAATCCGTTTGAAGGGCAGATTCAAAATTAGGTGTTAGCACCTATGGGCAGAGGCTTATGAAAATGGCATCATTAACCTGACGTGGAGAGGGCTCTGCCTGTCTGCAAGCAGATTGCAGGTAGAGGCAGAGGGGGCTGGGGCTTGTTTATGTGGACAGTTGAGTTGGAGAGCGTGGGGGAACATCCAGGGGCCCTCGGGGAGCCCGGTGGGAAGAGCCAGCCTTGGAGGGGCCAAGGCTGGATTCCCAGTGGTGGGCACCCCTTCTCAGGGCAGCCCCTGGCCTAGGGCAAGCGCCTCAAGCTCCATCCCACTGGTGGGCACAGGGTCCCCAGCCTGCCTCGGGCGCACCGAGGGGCGCTAGCCTTTCTCACCTTAGATTCCCACCTGTGAGCTAGGGATGGAAACCCAACTTCACCACTGCCAAGACCCTGTTCCCACCACGTCTCCTGGCCACTCGGTCGCTGCCAGACACCTGTCTGCTTGTCAGAGCAGTATTCAGCAGGAGACTTGCCGTCTGCCCGCGCCCCTTCTCTCCCGGCGGGGAGGAGGGACAAGTGTGCGTGGGGGGAGGGACAGGAGCCCCCTACTCAGAGCCGCGCGGAGCGGAGCTCTGCAGCCGGCAGGACTTGGGCCACTGAAGATTTGTGCCAACTCACGGTGCGGTGGAATCAGTGTGAATTCTTCAGACACCAGCCAGGAGTCTGTGGCGCCCCCAGGTGCCACAAGGGGGCTACCTGGGCCACATTTCTGAGTCCGTAGGAAAGTGAGGAGGGGGAGGCATCAAGAGGGACCCGAGCTTTTGCTTTGGCAGTGGCGAGGGTGGTCTGCGCGGCGGATGTGGGTGGGCGGGCAGGTGGGGCGCTGCGTCTCGGGGAGGGGGCGCCCGAGGGGGCGGCGGGAGCCGGACGGCGATGCTGCCCTGCAGCGGCTGCCCGGAGGGTCGAGCTGCCCGCGGGCGGGCGGGCGTCGCTTCCCAAAGTGCAAGGAGGCTGAGGAGGAGCGCAGGCGGTGCGCAGTGGCTGCCGCCCGCCCGGGAAGCGGAAGCGCAGGGAGCAGGACTCTGGCTGCTGCGGCCGCGCGGGGAAGGCAGGACGAGGAGGGCACGGCCGTGGTCACGGGGGCCCAGGACCCCGGCGAGGACCCCAGGCGGGTCCCTGTGCTGCACTGGCTGACAGCAAAGAGAAGGGCTCAGAAGGCTGGGGCAGCTTGACACACAGTTTTAGGGAAAGAAACACTAATTTTTGTACTTCCCCAAAGGCTAAAAACAGCAACAAACAAGCAAACAAACAAACAGACCCCCCCATGAAAACAAAAACAAAAGCAAAAGCAAAAGCAAAAAGGCATTGGAAAGCTAGACAGCAGACCCTTCCCCGCCTGGCCATACCCACCACTCTAAGGTCCTCCTCTCAAGCGTGTCTGACGGGTGACAGCGTTGTCTCAGTAACCAGACTGGCACTGGCATCTCAGGGAGGGACGCATCAGGTGGCCGGCTGTGCTGTGAGACAGAGGTGCCCACAGACGTCCTTTTAGCACCAGGGAAGGGCCCGGGGGGGCTTGCGGGGCGGGGGGCCGGCTGAGAGCTGGCGTTGGGGGTGGGAGGGGCGGGAGTGCTTGTGGGTGTTGGGACGCTCCCTGCCACCCGACTTTGAGAGAGTTGCCCCTCTGCCCCCTGTCTGTGTCAATCAGCCCCCGATACTCCCCAGAATTTATTGTGGAGCGTACACCCCGTTTTGCTTCCACCCCCCCCACACACCCCGGAATCCAACCTGCTCATCTCCCGCATTTTAATTTTTTTTTACTTGTAGATGTAAAAACCTTTTATTATGGGAAATTTCAAGCAACATAATAGATGAACTAATGCAGTTTTCAGAATCACAGTTTTAAATCTTATACTGCCGTCACCCTGAGAGAGATGCTGTTAAATCCTGGTCCCCCTTGTTCCCTTCAGACACACCCCGGACGGCACCCCCGTTCTCCAGCCCCGCCGCAGGACTGTTTGCAAGCAATTTTCAGACACTGTCTTGGACCGTCTGAACATTTCTTGAGTATGTTTCTCTAAAAAGGGACTCTTTCCTTTCACGACAAGGTAAGCATGGTGCCATTATCACCATTAAAAAATGAACGGCATTTCTTTAATATCATCCAGGCTCTATTCAGCATTCACATATTCCAGATGGAATCACAGCTCCCTTCCAGCTGGCACGTTCAAGTCTGCGTCCACACTACCTGCCGCACTTCCAAAGGGCTTACGGGGCTCTGTGTGGTGAGTGTGCCTCCACATTTAGGGGTTTGACCCTCTCTCCAGACCTTAGATTAGAAACACAACCTTGCAAACCTCAGTTTTCTCATAGACACTAGCAAAGTTCTGGGTGTGTCTCTCAGGCCTCCTCAGGGCTGGAGGTGAGTCCTGTGAAGTCTCCTGCCCCCTGACTTACACCTGATACACTCTTAACACACAGTGGCTTGCTAGAACGATCCTTCTCCCCAGACACCTCCAAAGCAGAGTCGGGCCGGGGTACACCTGATACACTCTTAACACACAGTGGCTTGCTAGAACGATCCTTCTCCCCAGACACCTCCAAAGCAGAGTCGGGCCGGGGTAGGCAAAACCAGCTGGCCATCGTCCACTCAACAAGACTCCTGGCAGCGCAGGGCCCCGGGGTGATTCACGCTGTGTGTGCACCACATCTTAGCGAGGGAGGCCTGCAGTCCAGGGGGCTGAGTCTGCTTGGATCTCACAGCTTCCAGCTCAGCAGCCCAGTAGCAGGCTCTGGTGACCGGGGACCAACAGGGGACCCCGCAGGGTACCAGTCCGCCAGGTGGCACTCTCTGATGTGAGCCTAGGGCCCCCCACTACCCCAAGCGGCCCTTGGGGCTGCGTGGAACACACGTACCAGTATAACTCGGCCAACCGGTTCTGAGGAGCATTTCTCACCACCGCGTGCCTGGTGCAGTGTTTTTTTTTTTTTCCGGCATAAATCCTCGCCCAATAGGAAACAAAGGAAACGAGCATTTCATGACAGTTTGCCGAGGCCCGGCAGTGGGATGTCCATGCCGTCTTGAACCCACACCCCAGCCACATGTGCCATCTCTTTACTTTACAGTTGAGAGGCCCTTGGGAGGTCAGTGACTTGCCCACGACCCGCTAGAATTGAGGATCCAGGTGCCAGCTGAGGTTTGTCTGATTCCTGTGCCCGGCCGGGCGGAGGTAAGATGGGTAGGTAAGCCGGCTGGAGAGGCCCTGCATCAAGAGGCATGAGGACGCGCAGAGGTGGCGGCGGGCTGCCGGATGCGGTAAGATGGGCAATGCAGAGGTGCCGGTGGCAGGCGGCGGGTGGCTGAGTGAGAACTGGTAGCACTGCTCCGAGGTCAGAGGCTGGCTTGCTGTCCCGGGGAGCTTCCCTGGGAGCAGAGGGTTTTCGGACAGGCTTAGTGGCTCTGCGACAAGAGGTGGGCCTCCAGGTCTCAGGACCAAGTCCCAGTCGTGGTACCGCAGCTGGGTGGCAACTCTCAGTCCCTGCTGCTTTCCACTATACTGGGGTACAGTGGGTAGCCGGCTCCGCGCTGGCTCCTTTGCACCTGTGTCCTGAGACCAGCCGCACGGCCGGCCCTTCTGCAATCGTACAGTAACCTCTGTTGTCGCAGTTATGGTCTTCCATTAAGAGAGAAGGGAACTTGGGTGTAGGCAAGGGCAAGGGCTTGCCAAAGTCATATAGGAAGCAAATGCAGACCCTCGATTTGAATCTTCGTCTTCTTCCTTTCAAACGCCACTCTTTGCTCTAAATCCTCCTCTGTCTCTGTCTCTCTGTCTCTGTCTCTTTGTCTCTCTCTCCCTGTCTCTGTCTTTCTCTGTTTGTGTCTCTCTCCCCTGTCTCTCTGTCTGTCTCTCTCTCTGTAGCCCAAGATGGCTTTGAACTCTGTGTAGCCTAGGGTGGCCTCCTGCCTTAGCCTCCCAAGGGCTTGGCTCACAGGTGGGTACTGCCATGCCTGGCCCCTGTATTTGGCTGTGCTTAGAAAATCTCTGCCCTCCTCGAGCTCACTCATGTTCACCCTCGTTTATTTCTCTATTGCTAGTTCACTTCGCAAGTCACATCTTCTTTAGAATACCCCGTCGACCACGATCATGCCAACAGTGACTACTCATACCACCGGCATTTACGGTACAATTTTTTTATTTTAAAGAAGAGAACACCCAAAATTTCAAAACAAGGTAATAGGAGGGTAACAATGGTTAATACATTGCATATTGTTTTCTTTAAGTTAGTTACAAGATATAGACATTCAATTGTCCAAACAATATTAGCACAAACCTTTCTTTTCAAGGAACTAAGAGAAATTAGTAGTATGCCTACCTTAACTATCTTTTATATCTATGTATTATTTTTTTCTTTTTGCTTCTCTCTTCCTCCTTTTCTCCATTCTTTCATCCCAGTTTCTCTTTCCTCCTGAGGTTTCTTCCCACTTTATGATATCTATTGTACATTTTGGATCTTATTTACTCTTTCAGCTTCTCACACTAGGGAGATAATATGCTATATACACATGTGCATCTGGTTTATTTCACATATGAGTATGGTCTCCAGTTGCATCATTTGCTTATAAAAGTCTCCAGTTTAACCTTTTTAATGGCTGAGTAGTACTCCATTGTGTCTTTTTTATTCATTCTTTGGTCGATGGCATTTGGGTTGTTTCCAAGACCTAGCTATTACAAATTGTGGTGCTATAAACATGTGTGCACATACATCACTGTGGTATGATGCTTTTAATTCAGGAAAGCTACCCGGAAAGGTCTGATATTTTTGAGTTCTTTATATGTTCTAGATAGTAATCCTTTGTCAGAGGAACAACTGGCAAACATTTTTTCCCACATTGTAGGTTGTCTCTTCACGCTGTTGGTGGTTTCTGTGGCTGTTCAAAAGGTTTTTAATAAGGTGAGATCTCACTTATTGGTTCTTTGTGATTGTTTCTGTGTGATTAGGGTTTTATAGAAGTCTTTGCCAATATCAAGAGTTGTGCTTATTCTATCCTCCAGCAGATTTAATGTTTCTGTTTTAATATTCACATTTTTGATCCATTCTGAATTTAGTTTGGTGACGAGTGCAAGATATGTGTTCACTTTTAATCTTCAGCATGTGGAAAGCCAGTTTTTCCAGGATCATTTATTAAAGAGGCTATTTTTCTTCCAGTGAATGTGTTTGGCAACTTTTTTAGAGATGGCCAAGTACGTCTGGAGTTGTTTCTGCCTCTTCTAATCTGTCCCACTGATCTTCAGGTCTGGTTTTTTTTTTTGGTCAGTACCCTGCCATACTGGTTTTATCAAGGTGTACGGTGCCGATTCTCCAAGGCGAAGTTCCTGGGTTGAGACTCAGCTGCACTTCATGGCCCTAGATGCGGTGGCCCAGCACCCCGGTTCTGCAGCTTCTCGCCAGACTTCTTGCCCTATCTGATTTAGGGAAGGCAGATTGTTGCTTTAGAAACGTTTCATCACTGGGTCCTTTGAGGGTGGTGCTGAGCACTGCGTCCATGCGGAACATGAGGGTGTGTCACCTCCTCCCGTGCCCCTGCCAGGACCCTTGCACCTTGAGCCTTGGAGGCATGTGGCCGTGTGTGGTGGGGTCCAGGGGTTGCCAGTGGATCCCTACAGCCCGGTGGCAGGAGATGGGTTTGCATGGGTGCCAGCTCCCTGGCTTGTGTCGCATGTAAGCCGTGACCTCGGCATCGCCTGGCTCCAGAATCTGGGCGAGCCCTGCAGCTCTTCCTGGAGGCAGGGCTGACATGGCTATGAGGAACACTTGGGGCCTCTGGGAGGTGTCCTCTGCTCCTGGGGCATCTGTCGTGCCAGTCCGTTCACATGACACATGTGCATCGCATTACATGCTCCCACGTCCTCTGATCCCACGCTGCAAAGTTGATACACGGAACTAAGTGAGAAAGACAGTGCCCCCGCTCCCCTACAGGGCCACGCTGCCCGAGCTGCATGCGTGATGCTGAAAGTCACCGCACCACTCTGAGACTCAGTTTCCCCACGTATAAAGTAAAAGTAGGACCTGGAATGTGTTTGCTTAGCTCTCACTGTTTGCACGGGGTGCTCTCCCCGCTGTGTCTGGCCTCCTCCCTTCTGCTCCGTCTCGTCTCTTTGCTTCTGGCCTCCATACTGCCTTTGTGTATTTTGCAAGCTCTCTGTTCCTGTCTCCCCCCATGGGGATGTTCCTCCTCCGAGGACTGTCTGCTGTGTACACTCCTGGGTCCCCAGGCCCCTGTCCCCGCGCCTGGCACGCACTAAGTGACCTGAAAGCATTTTCGGGGAAGAAAGGTTGAAGCCGTGGGTGGTCTCCACACCCAGGGAAGGCCACCTTGCGCGAAGCAGGGGGTCTGCGCTCTGTTCAGAGTATGCATTCAATAAATATTGGCTAATTATGATTATTATGTCTAATTCACAGGGCTGTTGTGAGGATCAAACAAGATAATGTATGCTAACACATGCTGCCGACACTCCGTGCTGGGTACAGAAGGTACAATATTAATACTCCCTGGTGCGGGGAGGGGGCTCGCCCTTAGCTGGGGGCTCTGGGAGGGAAGGAGGGTGGGAAGAAAGGCGGGGGGAGTGAGGAAGGCCCTGGCCCCTAACGCCAGCGGTCTTCTGCGGACTCTTTTGTGGAGGTCCCCAAATAGCTAAGTTTATGTGCAGATGACATTACAATGCACACAGAATCTACAGAACTGTTTGTCGTCTCCGGGCAGCCCTGAGACCAGTTTGCTGGGCACAATCCGGGGGGCCGGGAGGGAAACTGCATGGTCAGTCAGAGAGGCTCCTTGGGTTTCCTGGGAACAATGTGGACCTCAAGAATCTCACAGTGGAGACTCCTCTGAAATAGCCTCCTTTCCATGCTTGGGATTTGGGTTTTCCAAAGTACACCCCATGGTTGGACTTCTGTTTTCCAGGGCCCTTGTTTAAACGTTGATATGAATGTCTAAAAAAATAACAGACCCCAACAGTTTCCTGCCCAAGCCCATATGTTCCAAAATGCTTGGCCTGAGCACCGAGATAATTCCTTTGTTCAATCTGAGTGGGCATGGTGTGGCCAGAGGGGTGGGCCAGGAGGCGGGGTGGGGTGCTGGGGAGGCCGGGTGTGAAGGGCGGGAGCTGCCTGGGGTCTTGCGAATGGGTCTCTCTGACCATCATCCGTCTGTCAGTCGGTCAATCGGTCGGTCTATCGTCCTTCACTCTCACGATGGACCCAGGAGGGCGTGGCTGTCCTCATTCTGCAAATCGCACAAGTCGGGGCACAAGACAGAGAGGCCAGGTCACGTCTCTGCAGTTACACAGCTCGTGAGTGCCTGCTGGGGTGGAACCTGGTCCGTCTGTCTGTCTAGCACCACAGCTCGGGCGCTGCTGCGGAGGGAACAGGACTTTGGAGGGGCCCGGGGATGGCACGGGAGGGCTTTCATGTGCCTGACCTTGGCGAGAAAAGGACAACGAACTTTGCTTGGGGACAAGCGATGTTGCTTTGTTGCAGGTGGGAGGGGGGCAGGGAGACGTTAGTCATTTTTCCCGGTGTCACCTGGCCAGTTGGAGATCGAAGTTGGATTGGTAGGTGGGCACTGCAGTACCAGAGTGTGTGTGCGGGCCACGGGGCTGAACTGCCTTGTGACAGTTGGCGTGACACAGAGCACAAGCGTCTAGTTTGGAGTCCTTTTCGAAAACCAGGGTGGGTGGGCTTACAAGTCAAGCTTGTGTCGTTCACTCTTTTAGTTTAACTTTTCTGGCGTTCAGCTGTGCCATCCTGCATGGGGCCCGAAAGCCACTGATGGATAGAAAAGATTTTTTTTTTTTTTTTTTGGAGACAGGGTCTCGCTATGTAGTTCAGGCTAGCCTAGAACTCACTGTGTAGCCCAGGCTGGCCTCGAACTTGTGGTGATCCTCCTGCCTCAGCCTCCTGAGTACTGGGATTATAGCCATGCCCCACCATGAATATTTTAAGAATACGCACCCCTGTTAATATTTACACATGTAAAATGGGAGAGGGAAGTTGTCCGAGTGACTTGGGAGTGATTGCTAAAGGGTTAGGGAGGAAGAGGGGTGATTTGGGGGACATCCGAAGAGGGGACCAGGCGAGATTTGTCACAAGTGGTCTTAGCCACACATAAAATAAGAGTGAGATCTGGCAGTGCCGGGGAAGGGTGTGGGAGAAGCCAAGAATTGGGATTAATCCGCCACCACCGAGGGACATAAAGAAAGAGCTCAGAGTGGCCTGTGGCTGTTAATTTTATTATTAAAAATGATAAAGGAATAAGAAATAATGTAATCAAGGCCTTGAATAGAACAGTTGAGCCTGTGTGCTGGGGAAAGCCTTGTGACTGATTCACATCCACTAACCTGACATTAATGAGCAGAAATGACCCAGCAGGCCTCCCGACGGCTTTCAGCATGGCTTTGTGTCCCTCAGAAGGACACTCTGGGGATCCTCTGGCAGACAGGAGCTGTGCCAGGTGAAAGCCAGGCTTGCTGATGTCCCCTCAGTAGGTAAAAATGGTGACAGAAGTAACATTAGGGAGCACCAAGTACAGACCACTGATGGGAATGTGTCTCACCCCTCCAGCTTCACTGGATTCAATTGGCAGATAAAAATGGTACAGACTTCCCGCGTGATGTTTGCATACATTGTGAAACGATTACCACGCCCTGGCCATTGGTATATCATGTGGCCTCCCCTGATTATCTCTTTGGGGGGCATGGCAAAAACTTAGGATTCATTTTCTCTGCAAGTTTCAAGCATGCATTACTAACTGTAGTCTCCCTGCCTTAGTTTGGATCCCCACAACTACAGCAGAGCTAAAAGTTTGTACTACCTGTTGGCCTACCCGAATTTCCCACCCACTGACCCCTGTGAAGTGCTCCCTACCTTCCTTTGTGCGGGGTTGTTCAATCCTTTGTGAGCTCTAAGCTGGGGAGGCTGGGGGTGGGATGTGGGTGCACGGAATGTCATTGCTCTTGGTCTGGCTGGTGGCGTCAGTGTATTTGCTGTATGATTAAAAATGAATTAAATGATTTAATGACAAAATAAAAAAAGTCATTCAGGGGCCACCAAAATGCCATTTTCTGAAGTAAGAGTTAAAATGTAGCCCCTTTTGTGAAACTATTGCCTGTGAACAACAGAATAAGACTTCTACCTCTGTGGGTGAGAATCGATTGGATGGGCTAAAAATGTTTTTGTTCGGGATTGTTGCTGGGGTCATCTGTGCTTGTTGTATTTAAAAGATAAAAAGGGAGACTAGGAAATAATAATGTGATCACATCTGGAATCGGACATTATTATTTCATTCTGCGTGTCTGAGCGTGTCAGGAAGAATATCATTGGTTCATCTGTTGATGAAATTTACAGACAGATTCTGTAATAGTACTTGCTTTTGTTTTGCATTTGGGTGGTGAATGAATGCATATTCATTGTAACAATAAAAGTGAATAAAGAAATAAAATACTGAGAATTGTGCTTGAGCCGGTGGGGGAAACTGTGCCGTGAAGATTATAGTTTATCCTCTTCTGTTCACCTGTGGTCATGTAGGGTTTTTTTTTGTTTTTTTTTTTTTTGTTTTTTTTTTATCCTTTTTCATATCTACCCTGTGTTCCACAGAAAGGAAGCCTCGCCGTGAAAGTGATGCTGCACTCCTGAAGGCGACCTTGGACCTGACCCAGTGGGCAGTGGGATGGACCTGACCCCTGTGAGTAACGGCGTCTGTGATTTTGAGCTTGGGTGACTGGTGGGTGAGCATTTATTGCATTATTAAACATGAATGGTTCTGTACATAAAATCAAAGCTGAGACGGTCATGAACCAAGGACGATTAACCCAATTAGGCATAACCAGGACCAAATTAAGCAAAATATCGCTCCGCTGTCCTCTGTGGAGGAAATACGCAAAGGGGAAAGCACCACATCCATGCATCTGTACTTTCCCTCTGTATCTCTCTGGACGTGTCCTCCGTCCACCCGTGTGTCCTGTATATCCCACAAGGTTCTCATGACTGTTGAGTTGGTGATGGGTTCATGTCTGTTTATGGATTTATTACACATAAATGGGTACAGAGATAAACAAAATCAAAGAAGGTTAAGCATGGACTAAGATAGACAATATATCATGATCTATAATTTATACTTATTCTCCAAACTGTAGCAGCCTTGAAACAACTATATCTATGCTCTTTCATGTATTGTAATGGAATTCCACTTCTAATGTCCGTACTCTGGTTTGTATAGGCAGTTCCCTAGTGGGATACACAGAGGGAAGTAAGGCATTGGTAGTCTTCTATGAATCAGTTAGCATTAATGGGCATTCTTCCATGATATCTTAGCAGAAACGACTTGTAAGGGCCAAGGCTAGACCAATGAAGCTAATATTATTTTGTAAACAAACCAAAGTTTATTTCAATTCTACAAGGGGAAGCCACGAACAGATGACCCGAGCTGTTAATGTTTCTGGTCGCTTCTTTCTGTTGCACACGTCTTTGTTCCTGTGTGCACGCAGTATACATGAGGATTCCGACCCTCCCTTGGGTACACAAGGTCCGTACGAAGATTCCAGTAGCAGGCGGTGTTCCAGAAGCTTTGGCTGCAGCTTTGCTCATGAGTATTTATGAATGAGCCAGTGAAGGGGTGGAGAAGTTAATGGGTCAATCAGAAGAGGGCTGACACGGGACACAGTCGCACGGTAGTGAGTTCTCCTGTTGCTTTGTGATCCATCTGCACTTCCTCAGAGCAAAGACAGGCCTCAGTCACCCTAACCCTCTTCCCAGCTCTCCACCTCCTTCCAGTGCTTCAGCAGGGGAGGCTCATGACTGCCTCCTGGTAGGCACCTCCCTATGGGACCGCGAGGTACAGCCTGTAGACACTTCCCCCTGCCCGCCCCCGCGCAACCCGCAGGATACACCTTCAACCCTCCAATCCAGCTCCTGGCGGGAAATCTGCTTGGGTTTCACTGTGGACCCAAATAAAGCGTCCTTTCTTTCTCTTGGCTGCCCTAGTCTCTTGGGGTCTGTAAGTAATGAACTCTTTCTGCTGTCTCCTGTGTTTTGCTGTGTCTTGTGTGAGCAACAAACCTGAATCGAAGCTCTTTCCAGGTCAGGGGTCTCCTACAGAGTGGTTGTCCTGGGGCTGGGGATTTAGCTCAGTGGCAAAGTGCCTGCCTGGCAAGCACAAGGTCGTGAGTTCGGTTCCCGGTACCGGAGAAAAACCAAAAAAAAAACAAAACAAAAAAAACAAAACAAAAAAACAGAGTGGTTGTCCTGTGGGAGTAAATTGCACACAGTTTAGAAAAGAATCCTAAGGGTGTCTCCCAGGATAAATAGGTTCACCATGAGCAGGACACCTGGCTGGGGGATGTGTCCTAGGCAGCGGGCTGGTGGCAGAATAAAGAAACGTCCCGGACAAAGCATGCTGCAGGCATTCACAGCCATCTCCCCTGAATCTCCGTCGTGGCCGGGCTAGGACTGATAGTCCTTCTCCTGAGTTAGACCTGAAGACCAAATCAGAGGAAAATCAGCACTCATTGTCTTAGAATTATGATTATTCTGATTATGTACCTCCAAGATCCATTTGCAACAATGTTGGTGAAGCAATTAGCCATGCACCCTTGGTGTTGGATGTTGATTTCAGTACTGGAAGTAAACAATTACATAAATGCACGAAAGAAATGAAAGACCCAACCAAGGACTTGTGCTAAGAAAGGGCCGGGGATGAAAGGATTGCAGTTAATTCCGTCTGTGCTCTTCTCCACCGGAAAGACCACCTGGCCTGTTTCATTCTTTTTGCTGCCTGTTTTGGGTTTCCTTGTGTATGTATACATAATTTATTTAAACACTGGTCTACAAATAAAGATCTAGGCTACTTAGTCTTTGATAAGGCAAGTAACTCAGATAGTTCCTCAGTGAATTTTTTTTCTTTTTTTTTTTGGTACCGGGAATCAAACTCAGGACCTTACACTTGCCAGGCAGGCGCTGTGGCACTGAGCTATATCCCCAGCCCTAAAATTTCCTGAGAAATGATGAAATCAAATAAAAGGGAACTGAAGATTATAGTGTATCATGAATTAGGTTCATTCAAAAAAGTTCCAGAGTATTAGAACTCTCTAGCTGAACTTTCTGCCATAGTAGAAATGCCTCACAATTTGTTCTGTCCAGTAAGTCTAGTGTGAGGCCGTCTGGGCTACTGAGTATTTAAAATGGGACTAATGTGCGTGAGAAACTGAATGTTTTTAATTTTAAGGAGAGTAGTAAAAAAAAGAACAATAGCAAAATACCAACATCACAGATATAAACAAAACAAAGCAAGAACATTAAAAATGATACAGGGTTTCAAAACAAAATGATAGTAATTAACAGTGGTTGTTATATTACATATTGTTATCTTCAGCTAAATTGCTCAGATTGCCAGATGTAAGAATGGAAGATTGCTCAAACCTTTAAAGAGAATAAAAAAATAATTATTAAAAAAACATTAGAGACACTTCAGAGTTTCACTAGACAAGATGGTAGGAATTCACCAATGCTTGTTCCACTGCATATTGTCTTAAAATCAGTTGCTCAGATTACCAGATAGAAGCATGCAAAATTGGTCAAAATATAAAACATTTTAAGCATTAACTGTATCTTTCAATATACCATCAGACATCAGCAGTACAATTATCCCAGCTATCCATATATATGTATATATATATTTTTGCTTTCCTTCTTTCAAGAAACTGAATTTTTATTTAACTTCATTTTTATTAATTTAAATTTTCAAAATCGTGTGGCTAGTGGCTGCTCCCTTAGTTGGGTTAGCTGATTGGTTCATGGGAGTATTTTGGATGACAAATGTGAAAAACACGTAGCTCATATAAAGGAAGATTAATTGTGGGCCAGTGATGGGGATGTGATATAAAACAAATATTGTGATGATTCAAGTTCTACATACCTGAGTGGCAGTGCCAAAAAAAGCCACTGATTCATGAAAATGGGAAACGGGCTTATTCATTTTATTTATTAGCTAGTTAGTACCAGCTCAAATGTGTGCTCCAGCTTGTGTGACATGTCCTCCAGTGTTGAAGGTGTATGTATGTATCATGTATCATGTATCATGACTGAGAAAAGCAAAACGTCAAGAGTTGTAGTTTCTGTCTTGAATACTGGTTTGGGGGTGCTCCTCCTATTCAATGATTTACTTCAAAAGTGATGAATAGATAATAGCGCTTACATGGTGCAAGGGTGATACGGTGCCTGGAGGCAGGGCTTGTAATTTTATCACAGGTGTATCTCTTAAGGACAAGGTCTGTTCTTTGGCAGGTGTTAGTGAGGCGTGCGGAGATGGGGGTAGCTAATTACCTTGGTACCTGCGAAGGCCAGGCTCAAATCAGTTATGGGAATATTTGCTGGCAAATGACAACCTACTGTTTCTACAAATTGATGATGATATTGGCCTTGTGTCCACTTGTGAAAGGCAGACCTTCACTCCTGAAAACATGGCCGTGGTCCATAAACCCAGTGCTTTTGGTCAAGGTGCAGAGCATCCCAATGAGATGTAACTCCTTTTTATCATGCATTCCAGGGAGAGCTTGTCTGTCCTCTGCATGGGAAGCCTTACCTGGGCAGGATGGCCGCAGCGACCCCACTGGGAGCGGAAGACTTTGGAGACACAGTTGTTGCCCTCCACTGCAGCTGTAGTTCCTGCCGGGCAGGTCAGGTGGGTCGGGAGGGAGCTGGTCAGATGAAGAGACGGTTTATAAGCAGAGGTTTACATTTATTACCACTCCGTCTTATTTTAGGGGATCAATTCAATGGTGATCATTGAGTTACTGAAAATTTTTACTGAATGAGTCCATGGAAATTGGAGCACCACTCGTGGAAGCAGGGTGGGAGAGGGCCAGCCGTACAATGTCGGGAAGAGCCCCCAGCCAGGGATTACTTACATACGGTTAAGCAATGTTTTACAACTCACATTCGTTTAAAGCGTTCAGATCTGGTATTTTAATCTGGTGACTTCCCCTTTCTCACACTGTGTTTTATTCTACAAAGTGAAGCTGATTAGGTTTTTGGCACTGACGGGGAGCTTAGGGTAACTTCAGGAGTGCAGAGATCGATGCAGGTGACTGTCACAGCTCTTGTTCTTTGTGTAGGCTGTTTGTTTTTTCTTAGGTGTTGTCTGTATCCCTTATAAGAAGGAAGAAACTTCATACAATACAATTAGCTCGCCCTGGTGGTACATGCCTACATTGCCTACATTCTGGGAGGCTGAGGCAGGAGGATGGCAAGTTCGAGCCCAGCTTAGGCAATTTTGGGATTTAGTAGGATCCTGTATCAAAATAAAAAGTAAAAGAAGGCTGTAGATGTAGCTCACTGTGAATGCCCGGGATCCAATCCTCATTATTACCAAGAAAGAATTAAAAAATTCATGAAGTTATTGCAAGGACCAATTAGACAATGTGAAAATTATCAAAGATCATGATGAGGGATTATTCCAACTGAACACAACTTAATTCCATTAAAACATAGCGCAGTCCTTTTCATTAGCATTGTAATATTCCACATTAACTTTATACCACATTTGCTTTAAACTGTCCTCTACTGACCCATTCTGTTGACTCTCTGAACAGGTGATCCACCTGTAAAATCCGCACACAGTGCAAAGGCTAAATATAAAAATGTAAAATATTTCTACAAGTATTTCTATGAATTACATACTGAAACATGATAGTACTTTAGATATGAGTCAAAAATATACTATGATAACTGATTTTACCTGTTTATTTTTATTTTTAAAAATCTTTCCTCCCTCCCTTCCTTCTTTCCTTCCTTCCTTCCTTCCTTCCTTCCTTCCTTCCTTCCTTCCTTCCTTCTTGCTTACCTCCCTCCTGCCCTCTCTCTCCCTCCTTCTCTCTCTCTCTCTCCCTCTCCCTCTCCCTCTCCCTCTCCTCTCTTTCTCTGAGTCAGGGATTCAATAAGTATTTTTATAGCCAGGCTGACCTCAAACTGGAAGCAACCCTCCTGCTTCAGCCTCCTGATTGCTGGGATTAAAAGGCATGCACCACCACACTTACCTCTTAAAAATCTAGCTTTTACAGAGCCTAAAAAGTACATATATGTGTGGTTTGCATTGCACTTTTATTGGACAGCACTGCCATCGTGCCATAAAGGGTGTAGTGAGGGGTCCATGCTTTCATATTTTTCTGATCCGTGGGCATTGATTGTATTGTTATTAGTCAATCAGTAGACAAATCAAAGAAAGGGAATAAATGCATGAGACAAAAGGATATAGTACACACTAAATTTTAAAGGATGTACTGAAACAAAGATTATTTTAAATATTTTTAATGCTCCCAAACTCATAAAAATAGTACAGTATGATTCATCACTTTAGGTGCACAATTTAGGAGCAGGTGCATATAATAATCAGTGCCGTTGTGTTGGGTTTCTGGCATGTTGGTAGTGTTTACTTGTCTTATCTTTAATGAGCTCACAGATAATGAATTACTTGAGCAAAGGGCCAATTAAGTAATGAAATGGTTGTGGGTCATGCATGGCAAATGCCAAGTGAGGACGTGGAGGGGGTGGAGATGTCCGTTACGCCGCTCGGACACCTGCGCTCCCCCCAAAGAGGTCCGGTCCCTCCACTGTGGCAAGGGGTCTGCAGCTTGGCCTCAGGAGCACCTCGAGGTGCTGATTTTAGTTTCACAGCTCATGACTCCTCTGTAAGTGAATTGATGAATAACTCATGAAGCAAATTGAATAAATGTATAATAAACAAACTCATTAAATATCTATAAAGGAATGAATGAGGAGAGGGATGCAAGGAGCAGTATATGCAGCAAAACGAGGACCTTTATCAACATGTCCCTTTATTAATACGTTCCTGGATCCCGTGGAAGTGCACACACACACACACACACACACACACGCACACGCACACGTGCATGCACTCACACACTTTGGTGAATGGTTTTTCTTATTTCTAAAAAAAAGGGGTGAGATTTTCACAGAAATAACATAATGCAAGTCCTCTGTTGAGAATTATTAGGTGGTAAGAATGTTGACGAATCCAACAAAGGTGTAGCTGCTTCTCGCTGAGGTCAGGGACAGATTGACAGATGTTTTACTAGAATTTTTAAGTGGTGTCTTTGGAATTCCCAGCTATGAATAGAAGAGGAATGAATATGTTTTTATCATAAGAGACAGGGGATGATGGACCAGGGATGAACATAAATTATGAAGCAAGTATTGTGATAAAGCCATTCAGACATGACTGATTTCCATATAAAGGAACTGAGGTCCAGGCCCCTGTTTAAAATTCACAGATAAGTTCATGTTATATTGTTTTAAATTTGTACAGCTGATGTATTTTCATTTCTTAATTATACTTAGAAGATAGATAAAGAATTACATTAATCTGGTAATTAAATAATACACAAGGGGCTATAGATACAAACAACCCCTAGAATGATTAGTCAATGAAAGATAAAATAATACTTAAAGTATGAGCCATTAGGAAAAATAAGCCATGGACCAATTTAAATTGCATTTGATTAGGAACAAGTGGGATCCACTAAGAGAAGGTGACGGAGGAAACACTGTAGTTTAATATTTCTTTTTTTTTTTTTTTTTTTAAATCACTGCTGGTCTACACATTCTGTCATTGATAAAGATAGAAGTTTCTGACATTCTGAGAAAAAAAAATCAGGAAAAAGGGAAAACATGTCACTGGAGTAAAAGGAGAGGTTTCTGGATGTTCTTCATTAAGTATTTAAAATTTGGAGAAAGGAAGAACTAAGGGAAGGTGCCGTCCTGGAGAGCGTGTGCAGAGTGGCCGGGAACCCCTGGGGAAGGGTGACTGGGGCATCAGCTCGGGGAGAGAGACTGAAAACTCTCGCTTTGTTGGGTTTCATGAATATTGATAACTAATTATGAACCAATCAATGAATAAATCAATTAACAAATGTGTAAAGGAATAAAGAAAAAATGTCATAAGCTGAAGCCACCAATACTTACCCTGGGGTTCCTGAACCAAGGATTTTGAGTAAACCCTGTAACTCTGATGTCTGTTATAAAGGCAAACCTAATTTATTGCCTCCGTGGGACTTGGGTGCAGAGGCGTGTTGCTCTTGGGCTCTTTTGCACCCCAGGTCTGCCTGCTGTTATTATTTTTTTTTTTGGTTTTTCTCCGGTACCGGGAACCGAACTCACGACCTTGCGCTTGCCAGGCAGGCGCTTTTGCCGCTGAGCTAAATCCCCAGCCCTTGCCTGCTGTTATCATTAGAGTGAGTACACAGGTAAAGAAAGAGGTGACAGTGAGTGAAGGCCATAGCATGTAGCTGTTCATTAATTGTGGCAGGATGTAACGAGATGTTAATTCTTAAAGTGTTTCCGAGGAGCTGTGTTCTAACAGGTACACAGTGCAAGGCTGTTACTACACCGGTTAAGGAACACACAGGTAGTGTATTTCACATTTAATGTGCTTTCTTAATGGGTTAATGTTAATTTTATTAAGAATTTTATTGAGGGCAGAAGGTGTGGCTCCGTGGTAGAGTCCAAGCGTAGTGTACACAGGCTCTGAGTTTAATTCTTAGCTCCACTGGGGGAAAAAAGATCCAAAGACTTAAAAAAAAAATGAAAACATAATAAATGATTCAGAACTACATCACTGATAGAAGATCAAATACAGGCCAAGGTTAAGAATGTGTTGTATGATAGGAGTTGTGATTAAATCAATTCTGGTCAGTGAGATTCATTTAAAAACTACACACATTTAGTTGTTTATTGTGGGCGGTGAGCTTACGGACAGATGTTAGGGTTATCTAGTGCTCCTTTTCAAGTTATATAGGTTTTTAAATATTGATGGTGGTTAATTGATTGATTGATTGATTGACTGTCCTCGGGATTTAACCCAGGGTCTTTACATTGAGCTACCTCTGCAAACTTTTAGAAACTTTATCTTGAGTCAGCATTTCAGTAAGTTGGTAAGTTGACCTAGGTGGCCTCTAACTTGTGATCCTTCTGCCTCAACCTCCAAGAGTGATGGGTGCCAGTATACTGGGCTTTATTTTTATTTCATACAGTGCTGGAGATTGAATCTACTGCTTAACTCATGCAGGTGAGCACTTTACTTCTGAGCCGCATCACCAGCCCTTGATGATATTTTTACAAGCAAAATAAATAGAGAATTATTTAGAAGAGGGCAGGCATGGACCAATGAAGGCATGCATGTGTCATTTGAAGAGTTAATTGTTGGGCTGGGAGTGTGGCTCAGTGGCAGAACACTTGCCTAGCATAGATGAAGCTCTAGGGTCCATCCCCAGCATTGTGGGGGAAATGTAACAAAATAAAAATAAAATCTACGCAAAGTTCATTATTATAAGAACCAGTATCTATTTTGTGCTACTGATGTCCATATAAATAAAAGGGACCCAACATGGACCCCAATTTAGACTAAGGACCTAGAGACAGTTATTTGTTTTTTTTTTTGTTGTTGTTGTTGTTTATTTGTTTGTTTTTGAGACAGAGGCTTGCTATGCTGTTCAGGCTGGCCTCAAGCTCATTTTGTAGCCCAGGCTGGTTTCGAACTCACAATGATCCTCCTGCCTCAGCCTCCCGAGTGCTGGGATTACAGGCATGCGCCACCATACCTCGCTTACAGACTGTTATTTGTAATAACATTTTAGAACGTTCTGGATTTGCTTTGAAAAAA